TGCCTTGGCAGCAAAGGTCCTTGCTTAGAGAATAAAAGCACTGTACAAACATGAAGAAGGCATGATTTGATTTGGAAAGATCAGGTTTCGAAGTGCTTTAGGAGGAGATTGGAGATGAACAAACTGGTTTTGGGGGTCTTTTTTTGCTGGTTTAGGTGGGTTTTTTTGTCTCAGCAGTGTTAATTACGAGACTTAACACTTTCTGCTTGCAAGTTTAGAGGTAATAGGGAACAGTGTGTTAACCTGTAAGCCAGCTCCGGTGTTGTGGAGGGAGATTACTGCTCCGTGGACCCTGCAGCCAACCCACACAGTCTCGTGCCACCTGCCCGGGGGACGTCCATCGCTCGCTCAGCGGTGAGCCCGTGGACTTTGGAACAAAATCCCGAACAGTGACATCCAACGTGAGTGTTTAGTTACCCTCCAAGCAGACCTAGAGACAGAAAACTGCAGAGTTTCTGCACCTTGGCTGCCAAGACAAGTGTGGAGGTGTAGCCGGCTGATGATTTTGTTGCTGATTATCTTGTCCGTTAACCAAAGAGGTGGATGCTCCCACATTCAGTCCTTATGCCCAACTGCATCTCCGCAAAGTGGTGCAAAAGAGAACCGATCTTGATACGCGAGGTTATGTAGTGCGCTTTCAAACACTTGTTTAACCCACTGAGGTGGCTGTTGTGGTCATGGAATTACAACCCTCATACAGGCAGATTGAAGTGGTGGTGGGAAGTACTCCCTGTTGGGAAAGTGGAAAAGGATCTGAAAGTTTTGAGTTAGTGCTTTGATGTTTGCTGAGAACAGGGGAAAAAAGGTCATGTAAACACGAGGAAGTGGGGACTGGAGCCTGTGCTGAAGTTATTTCATCCTGCTCAGTCTTGTGGTGTGGGTATTTTGAGATACTGGTTTTACATGGCATCATTATCATAGTGCAATTGGTATTATTATGATAATTGCGCTGTTATTTATAATTCGTTATCAGATACAGGCTCCTTGATGAAGCAGATGTGCTGGGGGTGGAGGGAGCGTTTTAGTTGCCTGGGCCAGGCTAACAACCCGTATCGAGCTGGGGAGGCTTGGGTGTGCGCCCGTCCCCGTGCCGTGCTGGGGCAGTGCGACCAAGCTAAGCCGGTGGACGTGGCCTGGCAGCAGCCGATGCCCATCCCCTTCAGCTTTTGTGGACCGGAGAAGACCTTTTGTGGAAGCAACGGGGCCAGCGAGGACTGTCAGTCTCCCATATTGTTTCTGCAAACCTGGCCCCATCAAGCTTTCATGAACGTATGATAGAAAACGAGGTATTTTGTAACGTGACAAGCTGGAAGGTGTTAGTAAAGGAGCTTTTTTGCCTATCGCTCCTGTTACACAGGCTGTGAAGTGAAGGTTTGAATGATGGGTGTTTCTTAGAAATTTTAATTGTTTTCCCTCATTTTAACTCTCAACGAAAACGACTCCCTGGCCTGCATCCTTGGCAGAGTATTACCTTTCCTCTAAGTCTTCCTCCTGTGAGTATCAGTTACTCTGCTTGTACCAAAGGTACTTGACAGTGATTTACACGCTGATGGTATGATGGCAGCGGGCTGGGGTTGCACCTGGCCAGCGCTGTGCTCCTGCTCCCGGAAACATCTTCCGTGAGGCCTGAAGCGAATTTCTGCTCGGTAGCTTCTTGCTCCTTGGTGAACCCCATGCCACCATTGTCCATCCCTCCGCAGAGGACGAGGTGGGGTGAAAGTGCGTGCCTCTCTGTGAGACGGGATTCCTCATTTTTAAAACAGACTCTTGGGAGATATAAATATATCTTATATTCCATAAAGGCACAAAAACTGGAGTCGAGCAATCTTTCTTCTTCTGTATGGTGTCTTTAACAGCATTACTGATGGTGAGTTTAAAGCATGAGCAAGTTTCTGAACTGATAGTAGTTTTTAGCAATATTGCCAAAACCTGCAGTTTACTGCAAGACACACGCATTTGCCATTTCTCATAACACTGCCAGGGCAAGTGTCGTGGGGTTACACCGGCATATTATGACTCTTCTGCCAGTATCAGAGTAGTATTTGCAGCTAGCAACAGATCTTTGTTCTTTTAGGCTCTGCACAGAGCTCAACTTAAAACCTGCTAGCTTAGCTGTGTCAGGAGAGGTATGTGCATGTAAGTAAGGATATGTAATTTGAAGGTTGGCTACAGGCCCCTGAACAATGATGGATGCAGCCCTGTGCGCTGTGTCTTTGGGATCCTGAATGCTTAAGCACGCAGGAGGTTTGCGGAATGTTGGCAGGGGCTGGACAGAACGGCTGGTGTGTCGGGAGAGTAACGGTTCAAGGTCTGCTTTCCTCCTTTCTTTAGTGGTTTGGGAAACTGTGATTCAGTCACTCCGGTGTTTAAAATTGAAAAGGTTTAATATTGCCCCACCTCGTGGTGTACACAGAGTGCTCCGACACCCCCAAACCCATGCAGAATTTGTAAAGCAGAACTTGGAGAGGCAGCTGATGTAGCTGTCAAATGGCACGGGGAAAATGAGGTCCTACTGCAGACTGAGAGCCCAAGTGTCATAACAGGATTAAAAAATAAATAACCTAGGCTTTATCAAGATCGTAAGGTGCTACCCTCGGAAACAGCGAGCCTGTAGGGAAGTCTGTTAGTATTAGTTGTGAATTCGATGCTGTGCAGTTTCTGTGCTGCATCTCATGGATTTCAACCCGAGTTTCAACCCTAGGGCAAGTGTGAAAGTGTGTGTTGCATTTTCCTTCACACAGACATCGATTTCCTTGAGTTGTGAATTACTGGTGCATCACTTGAGACTGAAATATTGTGCACACGGAAAAGGCGTTGGTGTTTCCATCTCCTGGGTCTGCAGCAAGCAAGTCGAGCCACAGGCATTAGTAGGTGAGGTGGCTCAAGGCTGATACCGCACTTAATGCACAGATTGAGGCCAAACAGGGAGCTGGAGGCAAAGTACCTTCCCGTAAGTGCTGGTGACACCAGCTCTGCCCGGCGTGGAGTAAGGGTGCAGGGCTCATGCTTGAGCTTTGTGCTGCAGCTGGTGCCAGGCCCAGGATTCCAGGTGCCCCGTAACAATGCGACTACAGTGAGTGCAACGGAGACCAGCATGCTGGAGAGCCCCGCTCTTGTAGGTGTTTCTAATGTGGGTTAACATGCATAATTCAATCCATCTTTCTTTTGCCACATTCAGAGCTGTGTAACCAAATACTGATTTGCTAAACACAACTTGAATAATGAAGCAATCCGTGTCTAAAAGCCTTCCTCAGTACATATAATCCCACTGAAAAAAAGAAAGAAAATAGAGCTGGATCCTCTCTTCCGCTGTTTTAAAACACTGCAGGTATTTGCAAGAGGGAATATTCATCTTCATCCCTGTTTGCTCCATGGATTTAAATACATGCGTGTGCATGGCATGCCCAGCAAGTGAGGTGGCATACGCAGAGTATGCCAGTCCTTTGTCCAAAGCTTTTTTTTTTCCTCGGTCACCAGGTTCATTCCACAGAGAAACAGATTAAAAGCTGCACCTTGTATTTCTTGCTCAGTTTAGAGGTAACAGGTCAAAAAATACATTTATGTGCAGCATTACGTTTTGCATAAAAGTATAGCTCTGCATCTGTTTTGTACCATTCCTACTCAAATCGTGCCAGTAGTGCAGATTATTTTGGTTTTCCGCACTGGCAACTTTGCTCCCTGCGATGAAACACAAACATCTGATAGCTGTAAGAGGCTAAAAACATTCTTTAAGCTGATAAAGGCATGACATGACTTTTGAAAATATGAAGTGTTTTTTTCCCTGTGCTGTTACTTTCTTTAGGTCACTTTGTGTTCATGGTGCCACAGCCTGCTGCGGGAGAGACTTGGGCCATGGGTTGGCAGGCTGGAGACAGGGGTTCTCACTGTTTTCCTCTTTGCTCTGGGGAGGACTGTTTTTCATATGTTTGTTGAATAAACATCTCAAACCTGGCATTCACTGCCACGCGATCGCTGCTGTGTGCTGAGGATTTTGCTGCTCATGTCTCAGAAATGCAGGAAGATGTTCCAGCAAGTAACACCCGTTTTCCTGGCATTTTTATGTTGGAAGTGATCAGCTTTTCTAAGCTTTCTAAGCTATATTTGTAATTAATTGGGTGTAGAAGTTTGTTACCTAGTTCCTTTATTTTTTTTTTTTAAGTTCAATTTTTCTACCAGTTCCTTTTTTAGCTGATGACAAACATTTATTTGAATTGTAGCAGTATACTATGGATACCGTAAAATTTACCTTGAAGAGCTGCCAAACGTCTGCTCAAGTCCTGCAAACCTGAATGCTTCGGTTTATTTTCTGGCTAACCTGTTTGGGGATTGATTTTTTTCCTGCTGTTTCTTTGGCCCAAAGAGTATAACCTTGCTTATCTGCATCTTTTTTTTTTGGTGTTGCTGACCTGCAGAAAAGCGTTTTTTGTAGTACAGTAGATATTTTTGCCGTGCAGCACAAATGCAGGCTTCCTGTTCCATAACTAGGTGCAACACATTGCATTAAGATGCCAGTTTGTAAGGGGGAGGGAAGGTTTGCGACACGAATAGCACTAAACATTTGCTCTCTAGATCCTTAAATCCATTCAGTTATGATTTTAAGAGGAGTTGGGTACTGGTTATGGACCAGAGCTGCATAGTAATAGAAAATGTAACAAGTACAGAGGGGGGAGAAGTCCCTCCCACAGCTGCAAAGTGGTGTTTATAATACAAAACTGTTAAAGCTCTTGAGAAATCGGGAGCAAGCTCGGCAAGGACAGTGCTATGTGTACAAGGCTAGAGCTCAAATCAGTTAGTCTTTTCCATGCCAGAGTCTAGCTGTTCTTTTGCAGTCATTTTGTCTTTAAACATGAACTGCAAGCTACTGGTAAATGCTATCCTAATGACTGGTTTGGGGTTTTTCTCCTCCCTAGGAAGAAGAATGCCAACACGAATATGAAGTGAACCGTTTCCTATGCTAGCCACAGCGCCTGGGTGCTCGTATCGGATTGTTAGCAACAGGGATTTGCATCTCACCAAATTGCTTCCTCGGACAAGATGAAGCCACGGAGGAGCTTTCCGACGCGCTGGAGTCGCAGTGACTGCTGCCCAATTTAAAATCGATGTCAGACTGTGCCTGGGCTGCCTGGCGAGATGAAAGAAGTGGTGTTGTGGTCGCCCGAGGAGGTGACGAATTGGCTAACGGAAAATGCTGTGCCCGAGTATTGTGAGCCATTGAAGAGCTTCACCGGGCAGGATTTGATCAACCTCACAGAGGAGGATTTTAAGAAGACACCTCTCTCCCGGGTGTCTTCCGACAGCGGACAGCGGCTATTGCACATGATTGAAACTTTAAAAATGGCTCACCACATCGAGGCTCACAAAAACGGGCACATCAACGGGCATATCCGCGTCAGCGTAAGCAAAACCACGCGTGAGAATGGCTTTAGCAGTAAAATGAAGCTGAACGGGATGCCAAATGGGTATAAGAAGGAGATGATAAAGATCCCCATGCCAGAGCCAGAGCGCTCACAGTATCCTATGGAATGGGGCAAGACTTTCCTGGCTTTTATTTATGCACTTCTTTGTTTCATCTTTACCACAGTGACTATCTCAGTCGTTCATGAACGAGTGCCTCCCAAGGAGGTGCAGCCTCCCCTACCAGATGCATTTTTTGATCGCTTTGATCGGGTGCAATGGGCTTTTTCTATTTGTGAAATCAACGGCATGATCCTTGTAGGACTGTGGTTTGTTCAGTGGCTGCTCTTAAAATACAAGTAAGTAAAACCTTTTGAAAACAGAGTGCTAGGGTATACTTCTGACAGCCTTTGGAGGTCAGATACTGGTTTACATCTAAATAAAATGAAGCTGCTTGTGATCTTTCTGATTTTGGTTTCCTGAACTGAAATAGAGAATCAGGCCGTAGGCAAACTGCAGTTTATGTGGGCTGTGTGTGCGAAAGGGAGAAGTTCAGTCCAACTGCTACCTAAGAAACTAAGAAATAGCCCTGGTCTTGTTTGCCTGCACAGTTAACTTGAACCTTTTTCGTCTGTGAAAAGCCATGAATTGGATGTAATGATGTTGTTAACTCAGTTGACTGTCCTGTCTGTTTAGAGGGAGCACAGCTCACACTGTGGTGAACAGAGCTGCGAACCAACTTGGGACTGATTAGTGTCTCTGTAGTTTGCCTGATGTAAAGACCTACCCTAAGATTATGATGCTCTTGGGACAAAGCCAACAGGCAGTGATTTAGTCCGTGCACCTAAACAGTGCTGCGTGAAAAAGTGTTGAAGTAACGTTTTCTGTTTGACATTGGATGGGACAGGTAATGTCAAACACAAAGTATGTCAAAAGCTGATCACAAAATATGCAAATGCATAGATATGCAATGAATTTGCAAGGTCTTAGTGGTTGTCTGCCTCCTTGCTCATACTGGTCAGAATTGCAAGGGTGAATTTGCCTGCCAGTGGAACTGCTTACCCTCTACAGAGTATGTGCGGATGCTTAATTTAGGGTATTTATAGTGCCGTAAATCCACACCTTGTGCTGCCGTACCACGAGCGTCTGACATAAATCCCTTGTGCTGCCATGGCTGTGAATGAAGTGTTCAAAGTCAAGTGGCTGTAAGCAGTATGAGATGGCATATCACCTTTCCTTTCAAAAACCAGGCACAAGCATGTCCCCACAGCTGCCCAGCCCAAAGAGGGTCTCTTCTTCTCCTCTGCTAACAGAGGTACAACACCTCATTCTTTACCTGTTCACTGACTCTGTTTTTGTGACTCCTATGTGGGAAACTGAGGAGGGAATGTAATTTGTGCCCCACCATATGAAATGCAAGATCCTTTGGTTCACAGGACTTTGTAATGACCTTAAAATTACATATTTCCCTTTTTAAAAGAAATGAAAACAGAGGCAAATGTATCAGTCACCCTTATAATGGAGAAAAACTTGAAAACTTAGATGTAAGCATGTGGTTCACCAGCTTTGTAAGGTACAGGTGGCTTGAAAAGGGAGAATTGCTAAGCTGGGGCAGGATAGCCTTGTGCAACACAGCTGTGGATTTCCATAGGAATGTGACAAATGTTGAAGTAATCCACAAGACTGAGATGATGGTTTAGTCATCTTTGCTGCTTTATACTACTTAATATATACCAGGTAAAATTTCAAAACCGTTGCACACTTTAACAGAGGTGGTGTTCCTTAAAGGAAAGTTTCTAGAATGGTTGATTTATTGTTATTATAGGACTGTAAAAAACTGTGGAATAGATTTTTTTTCTTTTTTTTTTTTTTTAATGTGCACGTATGTACAAGAGGAAGGATTTACCTCAGCTGAGTCTCTTATTTTGTTCATGGCTGTAAGCTTCAGTATCACTCTTACATTGGTAGCTGCAGTGCTACCCACTGCACTCCAGCTCCTTTCTCCACTGCTCCAGCTGCCTACGGTGAACATGGGGGACCGCTAACTTCCTTGGGGTCTCTGAACATAAATGTTGTGCAAACGTGTGTACAAGAGGAAGGATTTACCTCAGCTGAGTCTCTTATTTTGTTCATGGCTGTAAGCTTCAGTATCACTCTTACATTGGTAGCTGCAGTGCTACCCACTGCACTCCAGCTCCTTTCTCCACTGCTCCAGCTGCCTACGGTGAACATGGGGGACCGCTAACTTCCTTGGGGTCTCTGAACATAAATGTTGTGCAAAATCAAGGGAAGCACCTAGAGAAGGTGACATGGGATTGCTCTCAAGAATGGGATGTCAGGTTAGTAGTGCAGTATGAGGGATCAAACACCCTGTGATGGAGCTGAGCAGAGTCTTTAAATTAAGAAGCGCAGAACCCATAAGGTCCTTGGAGATTTCAAAGCGGTGCAACATGGGTTGATTTGATGATAAAATATGTTGATATCGTTGATAGATGTGACAATCCCACCCCATTCCCCCCACCTCATTCCCCCCACCTCATCCCTGTTTGCTTTGATGTGTTCGTTTTTGCTTGTTTTAGAAGGGCTGTTTCTGGTGTTAGGGGAAGATGTCAGGGAGTTGCAGAGCTTTCCATTCCCAGCATCAGCCCTGGAATAGCTGGTCAGCATGTGTACTGGTCACATAATCTTTGGAGTCCAAAAGTTTTCTTTTATGTCAATGGGCAGAGGTATCGAAGTCCAAGAGGATTTTTATAAGCAGCAGAAAGGGCAGAACTGGAGAGGTGCTCATGGGAACAGGAGCCCAGTGAGGTGGCTCTATCTGGAGGACCTCATTCTTATCTCTTTAGATGGTGACCCACTAAGTGCTGTAAGTAGAGCTGAATCACTTTTGTGGCGTGGGTTATCACGTCCCATTGAAACTTAACTCAAGAACAGAGAGAGGCTATTAAGTCAGCTAGACCTTCCTCACTTCTCTAACCTCTGATGCTGTCGGGGATAGCCATTGCCACACTCCATTTGAGATCTGAAGATAAGACAGTGAAGCCAGGTGACTGCTGGGCAGGATGAGATCTGCTCAGCTGACAGGGATACCATTCACAGATGCCTCCAAGTGCAAGCTCAGGGTCACCAGTGAACCAGCAGCATTGTTACCCGTGAGCTGAATTGCAGCCATTGGCTGGGTTAAACCTTTGACCGAAGGAAGAAGCTTCATAGTTTCAGACTTTTTGAAACACTTTTCTTTGCCAAGCAGTGGAATTCCTATTGCTTATCCAATCCGATCCATTATTTGCCAATAACCTGATTTCATCCAAGCTGAGCCTGCTGTTCTTCCGAGCAAAGAAGGACGATAGAGATGTGTCATTCATCATACTGATCACTCAGGTCTTCCTTGTTTAGTCCAGGGATTGCATGATGATGTTGAATAGGACCTACATGTCGTCTTTGTTGGACTGCAAAGTTGGGGCCAAAACAGAAGAGGGTTGGGTGTGTGTGTCCAGCTAGCCACAGTGCAGGCTTTCCCTTGGCCCTTGTTACTCCTTTCTTGCCTGAAAACTAATTTTACCTTCAGGTAGAGACTGGAGTTTCTGGCTGGCTTCAGGGCAAGGCACTAGATTTGGTGCCAGGAAATCAGTGACAGCTTTCTTTGACCATCCATACAGAATACCATCCATGGTGCTGGGTTGGTTTCTCACCAGAAAGCAGGAGCAGGGTGGGTGTGCAGGTCTCGGCTGGGGACTCCAGGCTGCCAAAGCCTTTTTCCACAGACACTGCGGGGAGCTTGAGGAGTCCAGGCGAGCTGCTGAGACAGAATTAACTTCTCTGGGAAGCATTTCCAGATGTTTCGGGAGAAGTACAATGCTGGTTTCTGGCCATGCTTGACATCTGATTCAGCCTGGACACTCATAGGATTGAAAAACCAGCCTTCTCACTACCCACGTTAGGTGAGGTCTGCATTGTTGTAATAAAAGTTGTCCTGGCCAGTAGTAAGCTTAGAGGTTGCACCTGCTAAATGGCTTGTAGTCACACATGCGCACACACGCAAATCCTTTTGAGAAGGCAAAATATGAGGCTTTTTACATGTAGGGGTTTTTTTTTTTATATTACAGTGCAGAGCACTTTGGTGCAGACTTTCCCAAGCTAAAATATGCTAAATCCAGCTAAACCAAGTAGGTTTGTGGGTAATTTTAATTTAAAAAAAAGTTCAGTGCTCGATAAAACACTGCTGCTTCTTTGGTCTCTTGAAATACAGTGCTGCTTAGTCTTTAATCCCCAACTCCCCTGTTTGTCTTTATACCAGGTTATAAAGAAAAGCAAGTTCATATCTGGTTATAGAGCCAGGCATAAGTGTGAGGTCTTTATTGGATCACCCTTCCAAGAGAAAAATACACTGTACAAAACACAGAGGAAAACCACTTCTCCAATGGCATGGTGCCGTCCAGTCATAAATTTCAGTCCACAGAGCTACATTAATAATTTTTAAGTCCCAGCTTTGTCCATGTTTACAGTAGAAGGGGAAAGAAAAAAAAATTAAATACTATGTTTCAAAAGCAGTGAGCACTCAAGTGCAAAATGCATTTACACTGCAATAGTTGAAGCTTTTCTGATAAATTAAGACACTCAAGTTGTTATTGATCTGGCACTGCAAAGTCATACTCCTCTGAGAGTGAAGCACTACAGTTTAATAACTCTGCCAAAAGCTGTTAAAAATAAAAAAGATGGCCAGTTTTGAGCTTCGAAAGAGCTCGGCTTGGTAGAGGTATTTTTTTTTTTTAAAAGTGAGTGCTTCAAAGTAGCAACAAATGAATGCCAGAACTTGCAGCTTGTGTTGTAACCCTTGTATTCCCCAAATGATCATAACTGTAAGTAACAGCGATTTAAAATCGGCGGAAACCGACGGGGTCTGTAACCAGCAGGACGCAAAGGCTGGATGTGGTTACGGTCACGGACTGCTGTAACCGGATTTGCCCTTGCTTTGTGCAACGCCGGCAGCGCTCGCTCTGTGCTGAGCTCTGTGCGAGCTCCCGTCCTGATGGATGTGCCAGGAGGGGTTTAATTGTCGTAGCTCTTTCCTTGCGATGTTGTTAGCTAGTGTGTAGCGGTGAAACTCAACGGGCCAGCTTTGGGGCTGGCTGTCGCTCCTGAGTCGAAGCTGCAGCTCTTTACCCCATGTGCTCCGGCTGGTTTTGCAGAACTGCGTCACGGTACCCCAAAATTGCATTTGCCCTCTCTGCGTACGTCAGTGACTCGCTGGCAGCCCTCAATGAATGGGAGCTGCTTGCCTTGAGAGTGGCTTCCCGTGAAAACACCCTCTCCTGTAGCCAGCGCAGGTCTAAATTTGTATTTCAGAGGTTTCGTTGCTGATGTGAATTGCTTCCTCTGTAATGTTGCCCAGGAAAGATGTGTTCTCACTTGTTTGGGGCATACAAGCTATTTTTTCCCCAGCAGCCGTTTGTAGTTACTAAATGTGTGTGTCAGCTGAAATAAACTTACTCCTTTTCATCTTACAGTGAAAATATTGTAACTTTGTCCCCTGCCTTGAATAGAAAATCAGTGACCGCTCAAAGCTAATGGAGGGGTGTGGGGCATGAAGTCCCTTTTAATGTCTTCAACATTAAATCTGCACAGGCTTTTGTATTGTAATCCTTGTATTTCCTGTAATCACCTTAGTGGGTAATAATGTTAGTTGAGTTGCTTTTGTGCTTCTGACCTGTAAAGCGTGGGAATATTTGTAAAATAATTCAGTATTCTCAGGTGTAAGCTGATACAGTCATGAGTTTCAAAAGCATGGAGAGCAGAACAGCTGGTAGTTTGTTTTGTTTACCTTTGCGTATTTTGCTTCCAGTGAGTGACCTCCTTATTTTTTTCCTCTTTTCTTTTTTCCTTTTTTCTTCTAGGTCTATAATTAGCAGAAGATTTTTCTGTATAGTTGGCACACTATACCTGTATCGGTGTATTACAATGTATGTGACTACACTCCCAGTACCTGGCATGCATTTCAAGTGTTCTCCAAAGGTAAGCTTCTTCTGGCTGCCTTTCTGTATTTTAATCTGTGTGTTTTCCCCTTGTCCTGCTGTTACCAAAACTGTGAGCAACACTTTCTCAATAATTGTTACTAATTTGAAAATACCAGTTTGGCATGATGGGGACGTGCTTCTGCAGATCATCAGTTTCCCTCTCAGTGAAGGTGTTGACGGTTGCTTTGGGGCAGCGCAGGCATTCCCACCCTTGTCAAAGCGTTAATCTACGCAATTTCTGTAGCATTTTCAATTAATTCGCACAATCAGCATTTTTCTGTCCCCACCAAAGCAGTCGAAGGTGTGCAACCTGCGGAGGTGCCATGTGTGACTCATTTATTTCTAAACACTTCGGCATGTCAAATCCAAGTATGATTTGTATTTGAAAGTGCCCCAAAGAGACTTTTCTAAGGCTGGTGGAACTCTGTCTCCTTTGAAGCCCTTTGTCCCTGCATACATTTTTGCAATTGTGTTAGCACAAGGACTTGCCACCTCCTCCCCCGTCTAGCACTTCTGTTGTGCTGAGGAATAAAATGTGGCTTGTGAACGCCATGGCTGAAACCAAGCTACTGAGACCAAGGTCCTCAGGCAAGACCCGTTGTGGTCAGCCTTGAAGGGTAATCTGCGTGCTTGGGGTGAAGGTGGGACGCGGTGGTGGTGTTGCATCCATCTCATATCACACAAGCACTGATGTAAGCACGGTCCTTACTGCGACGTGCTGTTGTGGTAGGGAAATGCAGTCTAATACAGACTGGACTTCTACGGTAGGGAACAACGTGCATATATTAGACACAAGTGCTCTTTCTCCATAGAGGTTCATCTCTGCCCCTCCTGGGGTTGTTTGTGCTATAGCTTGATTCAAGCAGGAGAAAGGAGGGGAAAAAAGTAGATTCTGTGAAATATCTACTGCGTGCACAGTTCAACGGCTTTGTGTGCACAACCATAATCTAGATGACAGGTGGTAAAATCACTGATTTTCAGGTAGTAAAATCCTGATTTGACTTGGTACATGTGCTGTCGCTGTTGTGGTAAGGATTGCTGGTACATACAAAGCCAAAACGCTTCACTTCCCCAGGGAAATAAAGCCCACAAATACACTACACTGGTTGTTTGACAAGGCAGAGCATTTGCCAAGCCGCGTGTGGCTTTGAGGGACCGAGGTCTTTTGTAAAGAGAAGCGAGTGGGAGAGGAGTCAACATTGTATTTGCTCAGTCTAAAAAAGAAAGAACACAGGTATTTATGGACCTAAGTGAGTACATTTGCCATTTGTGGAAATTTACAGCACTGGCAAGGCTGTCTCATTACTCAGGTAAAGACAAGCCTCTGTAGCGCTATTCTATTGCCCCGATAAGACTGAGGATTAGCTGGGCTTTTCTGGAAGCTGTAAATATACTGGTGGGAAAAGAATAACCTCTCAACACCTTACTGAGTTATATATGATTGTGAAGAGTGGGCTTTGGGGAGTATTTTAATGTTTTGTAAGGAACTGTTAGCAGGAAATGTTTAATTGCGGCAAAGACCCTTGTTTAAATCTGTCAGAAACTAATAATTTCCACTTCTTAAAGCAAGACTGAGCTTTAAAAGAAAAGAAAAACATGCCTATAATGGCCAGCCAGGGGGATCTGTGTTTCCTTCTGACTGTTGCATGCGTAGCATGGATTTTAAAACTTCATAAAATGAGGTAAGGATGCAGTACACATGTAGTTGCATTCGTTGATCTGTTAGTCCTGCTCCTTTGAGCTCAGGTGGCTCCTGCTTCCCCTTGGGTCCCAGAGGTGCTCAGTACATCCTGGTTGTGCCTATCCCACGGCGTATGTTTTCTTTGTGGATTTTTTTAACATTTGGGCTTGTTTTAGAGCTGGGAGCAGCAAAAGCAAAGTCTTGGGATAGTGCCAGCTGCTTGTCGGTCATCTTGGAGGAGGGGTAGGGGCGTTCCCACCAGAAAAACTGGGTTTGCTTCAGTTTGTCTTTGATTCATGGGTTGGAGGTGGGTCAGAGCAAATCCATCAGGTGTGGAGGAACGTCCCTGTTGCTCGCATGGATTGTGTGAGTTAAAGCCAGCGCAGAACTTTGGCACCGTGCTCTGACAAGCACCATCTATGTTACTTTTGAAATGTGAAGTAGAAAGAAACCATTTTGAAGGCTTCCCAAGGCAGAGCGGTGGGAGGACTTGGGGTTTGGAGTGGGATACTCTCTTCTGTGCGTTGAATCTGGGTTTCGGCAGCTGGACACACAGCTTGGGCAGTTCATCCTGTTTTCTGTCGGATTATCATCTGGAGGGCCTGTGCTGTTACGAACAAGATGAATTCAATTAAGCTTGATTTATTTTAGAGTGTATTGCCTCTTGAACAGAAGAAAAAACAGATGTTTAGAGAGCATGACAAAATTCAAGCTATAGCTGGAAATATTTTTAATTCCTTTTTATTGGTGAAGATGGATTTTTGAGACTGTTACAGAAGCTGTAGGTTTTCCAAGAGTCATTATTCTGAACCTCACTGTATATATGTGAGGTTTTTATATAAATATGTATATGTATGCATATGTATATATGCCCATTGTATGTGCCAGCGCAAGAATATAATGAATAAAGAGATCTGAACCCATTATCTCTGCTTGAAGATTCCTACTAAAAATAATTTTCCAGCACAGCCACGAACATTAGCAAAGGCTGCCAACAAGACCTGGGAGAAAGATTACATCTTTACATGGTAGCAGCAATAAGTACTTATAAATAAGGTAGAAAAGAATTCTTGTTCACCTACTTATTTTACTGTATGTGTAGCTCTCTGAGCGTAGCCACTGACAGGAGTTTAACAGCTTTTGGACCAGTTTTTTGCTTTGCTATTATGCTGAAAAGATGCCATGTCTTTCATTGCAGCTGGGAGTGACCCGATGTAAAGGGTTTTTACACGCATAAATATACACACACAAATATGTGTGTAAACAAAATTGCCTTTTTTCTGTGCCTTTTCAATCTATATTGTGAGCATAGGAAAAAAAAAGTAGTCCTTTGTGAGATTGTATTTATAGGTGAATTGTAATAATTGCCTTGATTTTTCATGCATTGAATACTTCCAATAAAATAATCTTTTAGACAAATGGATGGAGGTGCATACGTTCTGTGCTCACATGAAGACTGGCTAAAATAGATGCAAAGCATCAATAGAAAAATAAACTCTTGTCTCATTTTCAGTCTTTTTTCCTCTAGATATGTGCTGCTAGCTTTTGGGAAAGGCTGTGGATTTACTGATTGATCTTGTGTATCAAAGCAAAAAGAGAGAATAACTGAAAAACAAAGTTGCTGGCTATCACCATTGCTTTAAACTCTGAAAGGCTGGCGCTGATATTTTACTGTGCTTTTGTGTTTTACTTTTCCACCAGCTTTTTGGAGACTGGGAATCTCATCTGCGAAGGATAATGAAATTGATTGCTGGCGGAGGATTGTCCATCACAGGATCCCACAACATGTGCGGCGACTATCTGTACAGCGGTCACACCGTCATATTAACTCTTACATACTTATTTATCAAAGAGTGTAAGTTCCTTACTGTTCATGTGGAATTTCCTGTTGTATAATTCCTTGCTAATTGAAGAATTACTGTTGTGCTCATCAGTAAATACAAGTAAAAATGCATGCTGTCTCAGTTAAAAATAATAGAACAAAGGCATATGACTTACTGAGAAAGAAAACTTCGGAGACAAAATAAAACACTTTACCATGTAGATGTCTGAATTAAGCATTTTATTTTAAAAAGAATTGTTTAGAATATAATTGAAACCTTCATTCCACCCTGCCTGATGAACGGTATTTCAACTATGTGTCTCCTAGTCTAGAGAGAGATGAATGGCATGCTAAATGCAAGATAGCTCATTTTGCAAGAATCAGGCCTTAATGTATGCACTTGTCTTTTATGAAAGGCAATAGGAATGGATTGCCATCTGTCTAGAATCAATACTGAAATACAAATCAGTTAATTTTACTGACCAGGGTATATTATAAGTATTGGGCCTGTTTTTCAAAGATTTCATAACCTTTCTATTTTCCAGGGGTCCGATTACCCCTGAGTACAATTTTAAGTTACGCCTTAAGAGAATGATACTTTATTTTGTCATCTTGGCATTCACGTTGCGCTACCCACCCAGCATTGCAGTCCGCGTCCTTACCTGATTACAGCAATAGTCCTGTGCGCCAATAACATTACGCTTTGAAATAATCGCTGCTTGTGCTTCTTTCCAGATTCCCCACGGCGACTCTGGTGGTATCACTGGCTTTGCTGGGCACTCAGCATAGTTGGGATGTTTTGCATCCTCCTTGCTCATGACCACTACACTGTGGACGTGGTGGTGGCTTACTACATCACTACAAGACTTTTCTGGTGGTATCACACAATGGCCAACCAGCAAGTGAGTTTCTCCCAGTCTTTGGATCCACGTGGCTCCGCTTGCCATAGCATGGTGGTGGGCAAATACCCACATTTGCCTTGAGCCTTTCTGCAGGAGCGGACTCGCCCGTGTCTTGTGGAGCAACCCTCTCTGCCCCCCTCATATTGGGTTTGCAGGAAAGAGGCATCATCGGTTGGGTTCATCTTGCATCTTGACTGCAAAAAATATCCGAAGGTTTACCCACAGGCAGGCAGGCCTCTCTGCTTCCGCTGTGTAACCTCAGTTTTTGAAGTCCTCCTGAATTTGGGCTAATTGGCCAGCTTTGTGATAGCAGAGCAAACCATTTAGATGTGGTGGGGTTTTTTGCCTTGATGGTTTTGGGGTTTTTTTGGTTGAAAACCAACTGGGTTTTCCTCGTTTTCTGTGGCTTGTGCCCTTTAGTTACATGACGGGTCTCTTGAAGACTAGTATGAGGCCTCACTAAAAATGAACCGGTTTTTCAGTGTTTCCAAGTGGTGGTAAGTTCCCCTGACCAAGGGAAATGTTTTTGTTTTGGAGGATAGTGGAGCAGAGAACAGGTTGCTCCTGTTCTAAGGCCCGTGTCTGGGAAGGCGTGAAAAATGGGGTGATGAGGGAGATACTGAGAAAGAGGAGCTGCTTAGAAGGAGACACAGCACATGATGGGAGATAGCAAAGCATGGTTTGTAATACTTACCAGAGAGCAGCGGTAAATGATTCAAAGGTCAAACAAAGAAGTCTAAATGAGGTCTCATGTCATTCTTCTTGTTCTTACTTTCCTGCTAGTGAACTAGATCAATACGAGATGAACTTACAACCCTGAGGAATGTGAGAGAAAATGTGCAAGTTTGTTGTGTGTGGGAAAGACCTAGTGAGTTAAGAGAAACTTACTCTTAGGTCTGTAACAGCAAATGAGTGTCCAAATATTTTCTGTGTAACGTGGAGAAAGGTATTTTGCTTATCTGTTGCATGTGAATCCAGTTAAATGTGTTTAGGAAAAACCTAGTATGGTGATAGCAAATTAGTTAATATCGTGATAGTACAGATTTTTAGATGATATCAAGATCTTCTAGCCATAATATCATTATTCCAGTGGTGCTACTTGAAGCAATACACCACAGTCAAGCCCTCTGGTACTTCTGTACCACCAAATGTCTAATTGCAAAGAATGCACTTTGGTGTTTGGTTGGTTTGGGAACCACTGTGTTCGATAGCAATCTGTGCCCAGACTTTGTAACTGTTGTCATTCGGCACCAGGCTGACTTCCACACTTCAGATTTGCTCCTGGGTTCTGTCAAAATGACGGTGCTGAGTGACCATGCTTCCAAGCTGGAAGCTACTGAAGTCAGTCTTGCCTTGAGTGCTAACGAGGTCCTGAAGTAAGCCCTTTGCCTTATTGTATTGTAATGTACCTGCTTTGGTGCATGATGTGACTCAGAAGATGGCTCAACATTGCTTCCCTAAGCTGCTAGGATCCTGGGAAATACCAGTCTCTGGATCCTTACCTGAGCACACGTTGGTGTACTAGTCTCTCCTTTCTGTTGCTGCTCCATGTGCAGAGGGCTGTGGCTTGTGTCACAAGACCTCAGAATTAAAAGCAAAAGCCCACTAGGGCTAAAGTGGATTTATTTTACACGTGAGTTTATGACATGGAAAGAAAGCTTAGCATACACGCCCCGTGCTTGCGCTTTCCAGTGGGCTGATACAAGGCTTCCCTGCGCTGGCATTGAAAATGTGCAGCAGGGTGGTTGGATGACTCCCTCGGTGCCTGCCCACTCCTTGTGTCTCAGCTGTGGCTTGCTCATAGCTAGGAGAAGCAAAAGGGCGGGTGGGGATGGTCTGAGAGCATGTGGAGGGCAGGGCAGGGTTCGTTACCTCCTCTGGATGGGTTGAGGCATGCCTTTATCATTGCTCTGTAGGCACGGGCTCCAAAACGATTCTTGAGCTACGTGTAACTTCAGAGATATTATGGAAATAGCTGTGCTTTGGGGTGGGGTTTTTTCATTCCCAAATGAGAGACCGATCTTTTTGGCCAGTCATTCTTTTCTATGGGACTGTTGAACAGCTGAGGCCTTGGAAATGGGGGTGAGTCTCACTTGGGAGCAACATTTGGTGTGCTCAGGGAGGCTATGGAAAAGCAGCTTGGCTCCTCTTGATCTTTGTCCATGCAGATCTGTTTGGGAGGTGTTTCTAGACTGAGAGATTTTTGGAAGCAGCTGTAAGCGAGGCGCCACTGATGAATGGTAGCAAATGACGCGCAATGAAGTCATGAGAGTAAGTGACGTTCTCTTTTTTTCTGATTATCTTTGTGCAGGTGCTAAAAGAAGCTTCCCAAACTAACCTCCTTGCAAGGGTCTGGTGGTACAAGCCCTTCCAGTACTTTGAAAAGAATGTCCAAGGAATCGTACCTCGTTCCTACCACTGGCCCTTCCCCTGGCCGGTGCTGCACCGGGGCAGGCAGGTGAAATACAGCCGCCTGGTGAATGACACATAACAGCGTGTCGACGGACAAAGTGGGGGGGAAAGGACCTGTCCCAAGTGCTAAGAACTCCGTACGAGAAGATGCCATAAAGAAAATCAACCGCTCCCTAACCCTTTCTTCTAACAGTTCCCTTGACTTAACCTGTTCAGTTACCTGGTAAGCACTGTGATCTTTTTTTCTCTCCAAAGGATCTGCGTTGGACAACAATAAAGAAAATTTAACTTATCATGCACTGTTATACATTTCTTGTTAATAGATCTGGGATTTACATTTACCCATCACCATGTTCCTTTGTATATGATGCGACAGCATAAATGAAAGCTTTTATATCATAAGTTCTGCTCTTTCCAGTCACGTCTGGGAATAAAGCATATTATTTTCTTGGGAAAACATACTTTTCATATCTCTTGCCCCAAAGATTGGGCTGTAAGCCATTTTCTAGCAAATGACTATATGAAGGTTTCTAAATACCTGCCTTGGGTAAAATCAAGAAATCTTTCTACCTGTTGCACCGCGCTACGAATAAGAGGATAGACACAGGAAGGTTTGGTAATCTTGATTTTGTAGAATCTGCAGTGACTGTGTCAAAAAGTGCAAAAAAAAAAAAGAAAAAAAAAGAAAAAAAAAGAAAAAAGTTGTAAAGTGATTTTCTAAGTATTTCCTAACTTTATTTTTCAAAATGTGTATGAAAATTAAATTTAAAAAAGATTTTTACATGTCAGAGAATAGAGAGTTAAAATTTAAAGAAAATGCTTCTTGGGAGAGAGAGATTTGTCTATGTTTCTAGTGCCTTTCTTGTCTTGATTGTATGGTCAGTAGGCAGTCTTAAATGTTTTTATTTAAAATAAAGTATTCCATGAAAACAGAATTATATATACTGTATAATTACTAATTTTTGCATTTATAGCTAAATTAAACTGGAAATTTGCTTATAATGTTGAAATTGCCATGTGTAGGGGAAAAAAAAACCCAAATAAAAAGGGTCCGATCTTGCTCACACATTGTGGGCAGGTCAAACTAAAAGGTATCACTTTATTGTCTACTTGGTAGCTGTATTTTAAAAAGAAAAACAGCCATGACTTCCTGTTTTTTAACAATTTTACAAATGATCACTGAGTGAACTACAAATGGTTTCTCCATCCCGTATTGAAATGTTGTTGAAAAACAACAAAGATAATCTATTTCTTTAAAATATTTGTGCAGAAACTGCATGTAATTATAAGTTTCACTCCTACCATACATACTGTATGTTTGGGGAAGTATTCTATCCTGAACTTGCCAATGTGCAGAACAAAATAGTTTTTTTAAAGAATGAAGAAGAGAAAATATATATATAAATATATATATATCCATTCTGTATTTTACGTGAAGCAGAGTTATCTTCTGTAGGGTTTTTGTGTATTCACAAGGTGATATTTGTATTGTAAAACAACAATGGTGAAGGAAAATAAAAAGGCTTTTGAAAAATGTAGTTTCCTTTATCTTTTTAATACTAAGTTTAAATTTAAAGCTGGGTTTATTCTTCCAAACCTTGCCTTTAATTTTATGTGTTATTGCACTGTAGGCCATCAGATTTGGACTGTATGGAAACTGCATTGATTTCGAATTGCTGTTTGCATTGGGCAAATCAGTGCCTTATCTGAAATAAATGCTATGCAATAGATTCTGACCGTGCGGGAGCCGGGAGCGGATGGGAGAAGCCTTCCTGGGAACCATCACCAGGGCTTGAAAAATCTACCCCAAAACTGCTGGGACGGAGCGCATTGCAGGGTAGCCATCCATGACCCTGAGATCCCTCAGTCCTGTCACTTAAGTGACAAGAAAAAAATCTGTGAAATTTCTGTGAGTACGTGGTGGTGAAAGTGTCATTTCTTCCTCCTTTTCTTTTTTTTTTTTTTTTTCCTTTTGGGTTGGTTTATCTCTATTCTGCCGTGTTCCTCAGCTTTGGCCAAAAATTTCCTTGAAGAATTGATGGGGTGTTAATTCTGCTGCTTTGCCTCGCTGTTGCTTGGGATGCTAAATAAGACGAACCCATTTCTTATCAATTCTCTTTCTCCCGGGGAGGGAGGGGATTTCTTCATGCTTCATGGCAAAACCCTTTGCAACAGCGTTTGCAGAGCTGTCAGTGAATTTTAGGGACCAGCTCTGCGTGCTTTACCTTCAATTCACGGTATTACCTTTGCAACTATGTGGTTGAAAGTTGATTTTTTTAAAAAAGCAAACCCTCCCCGACATGATTGCTTGAGAGAATTCACGCTCCCAGACGTAAACGAATGAGTAGATTTTTCAAGACCTGGCATCACGCACATCAAAACCATTGACATAAGTAAATGTATGGATATATGCACATGACATTAAATGGAATCTGCTGAATTCTGCATTGTAGTGTCTGACTTACTGCATGGATCTTGCTAAACATGGATTCATTTATTTTTTTTCACAGCCGAGCTGCGCTTTGGTAAAGCGTGTTGTCTTGAGAAATAAGTCTGGGCAAGCAGGGACACGGAGCTCAGCAGCGTGGCATTGCTCTGGGTAATGCCTAGTCTGGAGACCAAGGGAATAGAAGTGGGACAAAATTGTTGTGCATCAGTGTTAACTCCAGACTGTGGCACTTGTGCTGCCTTGTTCTTCTTCCCTGTGAGTACCTGCTTGGCAGCACCACCTTTTTAAGATGGGCGATGGCTTGCGGTGGCGCTAACGCCGCAGGGATCGGCGCGCGGACTGCAACCACTCGTCGTTTAGCATTGTGCTAAACTGGGGATCCCAGATTTCCCACCACTGAGCACGTCAGCTGCGTTTCCCCCAAACCCCTCGGGTATGGTGCCTCTACAGCGATTCTTCCGCCTTCACTTTCTCCAGAAGCGTAGCCAAGGGGTGATGGTGGTCTCCTGGAGCCTTTGAGCGCCCGCGCTTGCCTTTTGAATTTGTGTTGCTGGGGTGAGATCCTTGGGCAGCTTCCAGGGGTGATCCTGTTCCCCATTAGAGGCAGAAACAAGTAGTACATTGTCCCCTTGCTCTGGGCCACTGGCACATGGGTGCGTTGCGTGCATCTGCCTTGGGTAGCGAAGCTTGTGCTGCTTGGGTGAACGTGGACCTTTACCATTGATGGCCATCGGAGAGGTGAGCACAGAAAACTTGTGCCGGTGTGGAGCAAGAAGTCAGTAAAAGAGCTGAAATCTGGTGGTGTGCTGCCTTCATCGAAGCCGGTGGAGGTAACGGCTGTTGCCACGTTGTGCCAGTAAAACCGTCGTCTCTTGACTCGTAATTGAACACGGAGTTGCTTGGTTTGAGGGTGTCTGTAGGAGGACAGACAGGAGCCTGGTTTGTGTATGGAAGGGATAATAGAGTTTACATATTCTCCAGTGCAGATTCCAGGAGGCTGAAATTTGAAGGAGGGATCTCCACCAGAAAAGGCTTGGGAAGGACCTGGCAATTGTCTGAGTCCTGGGCAAAGAGAAACCAAGATCTTTGCCAGGAGGGTGGACTTTGATGTTGCTGAGATCCTTCTCGGTTTAGTTTTTAGCCCTTCCCGGTGGGGAAAGTTTGAAGACCCTTAAACTACAGGGGAGGGAGGTTTTTGAGGAGCACAAGCCAAGCAAGGGCAAAGATCCCTTTTCTGTACTCTGAAAAGAGCAATTAACCCCCACCCACCTCCCCGCTCCTGCCGTTATTCAGTGGGCAGCTCAGTGTATTGCCTCTTGGCTTATCCTTCTTCTGGTGCCGGGATACCGGCATGCTTCCTGAAGACAAGCCACCATGAGTTCCTGTTGTGGCAACTTTTCCCATCCGATTCAGCAAATAGCAGCAGCAAATATTTGCCGGAAGGATTTGTGGCTTCTTTTTGACCGTTTGCTAAGGTCTGCTTCCAGCGCCAGCCGACCAGAATAGAGATGAACCCTTCACGTGATGCGGCGTGCTGCTTGCATGCATCTCTTCTGTAACCCGGTAGAAATACGCATCTTCCTTGTGGAAAATTAATACCCATTTTCCTGCACTGGTGCTTCCTCTTGATGTCATCTCTGCCACTGGTTATCCACCTGCGCTGTAGGCTTGGCAGGGAATGCTGGTGAGCACCGGGATTTGGGCATGACACCCTCCGTACGTCCGTTCTGCAGCCGTGTTTAAATAAATAAGCTCATCTCTAGCGAGGTTTGGGAGCGGGTGGGAATCCCCCAACTTGCCTGCAGATGGTTTTCAGCAGCAGCATCTCGGCCCTGGTGGTTACTCTTGCTGGCGGGTGGTTGGCATGTAGGCATGGGCGGGCATGGAGCAGCCCGTCTTGTTCATTTTCTGCCCTGTTTTTGCCCAGAAAAAAGCCAGCAGGAAATTGGGAAGGATCTGCCCAATTCTGCATCGTCGTTTTTCAGTCTCCAGGCCCAGGGGATAAGAAGGGTTTCCCAGTCTTGTGCCAGAGCTCTTCTGCTTTGCACGTGCCGCTTGGCTCTTCCTCGGAGCGATGCTTTCCCCGTGCTCGCCCGCATCCCGGGTAAGTGCCGTTCCCCTGGGGCTGCTGCTGTGCGTGTTTGAGCAAAACACCCATCCAGGGCCTGGGAATGACTCTGACAAACGCTGTTCTGGGTGCAAATGGAGGTGATGTTGTCACCAAAGGGTTTGTTTTCCAACAAATGCTTCCAAATACGTCCAGCTGCCTTGTGATCTTGTTGAGACGATGGGCTGAAGCCGAAATTGGCTGCTGTAGGGTTTCTTCTGATGTCTCCCACACTCCTAAGCACCCAAAGTGCTGCCAGCTTAGACTTAGAAATCTCTTAACCAATTTTGATCTCAAAAGACCTCTGTCAAAACACGGATGTCTCCCTTGATCACCGCTCTCTGATGACGGAGACAATCCTCCAAGTAGTGCCGTGGGCTCCGGCTGCTTTGGAGTTGGTCCCGTTCCCTTTAACACAATGGGGACAACTTGCTGCAAGAGCTTTGCCACCGGGCACCTTCACCCCTGGAAGGGTCAAGGCAATTCGCCCAAGCCCCACTTTTGCCCACGTAACCCTTTAATGTGTCTTCCTCCCCGCTCCGGGCTTTCCAAAGCAGCCGCAGAGCCAAAGGGTCTCTCCTTTGGACCTATTTATGATGCTCTGGGTGACTTTTGGCCAACGTACTGCCTAACTCAAGTAATAATCCCTTCTACTCAGGCTTCACCGCTGGTTGGCACACGCCAATCACAGCGTTATCGTAACTGCTGATTTTCATTTTTCCTGGGAGAAAGGCACGCTGCCAGACAAGTTATTTGAGCAAGCCTTTGTTCTGGGTTAATTCTGGTTCATCTCGGCTTCTCGCAGGCGGAGCAGGTTGGGCACAGTGAGTCTGATCTGCGAGTCCGAGTGCGGAAGAGGGATCTGCATGTGCCGCCCGGTGGTTTTGGCTCAGGCAGCCCTCTGCCGGGTGAGCGAGCCTCGGCTCTCCCTCCAAGGTGATTTTTTTTTTTTCTTTTCCACTTAATATTGTACAGGCTTAAAGGCTAGGAGGTGCAGCTCTGTACCTTCCAGCAGTGAGAGATACTCCGGTTTATTATATTTTAGCTCTTCAGTCTACTTCCACGCATCGCTTGCGTTTTGACAGAGTGAATGAAACATACCTCCCCGTTTCATCTGGCAGCCAGATCACTTTTTTGGTCGCTAAATCCACAGTTAGCTTCTTTTGGCAGAGATTTTGCTACTTGCTCCAGCGCCCTCCTTGTCGTCGGGTTTGTGCCGCTGTTCGGGGAAATGAAAAAGTGGTGCTTTTCCACGTCTGTTCGTTTCTACCCCCCCTTCATCCTATGGAAGGGGACAACCTGCCCGTGCCTCATCATGCAACTTCTTCGTAACGTCATTCTGCGTTTTACCTGGTGGGAGCCTCAGCCAGGCCGGGGGGGCAGTCGGGGGGTTGCGTCCGTTTTGAAAGCAAAACGTTACATCTGAGACAGGGCACGCGTGTTTGCCCTTTGGCTGCTGCTTCAGATGATTGATGGCAAAATATTTTCCATTTGTGGTGACGCTTTAGCTCATTTGCATTTAATCTGTGGATAGATTTAAGGCATGTGATATGGGGACTTTTGGGGTCTTCCCATATCTGAACATCAGTCGAGCATTAGCAGCAAAAAATCGCCAGGACAGAAGGGCCAGGAGCGTCCTTGCTCATACCGCATCCCAAGGACATTTCACAGAATCACTAAGGTTGGAAAAGACCTTTAAGATCATCAAGTCCAACCATCAACCCAGCACCACCACACCACCATGCCCACTAAACCATGTCCTGAAGTGCCACACCTACAGGGATGGTGACTCCACCACCTCCCTGGGCAGCCTGTGCCAATGCTTGACCATTTTGACGTTTGATGGATATCCCTCCAGTTCAGCTATCGCTCAGTGATCTGCACATGACTTCTGAGTTCAGAAACCATAATTGTTCCATTTTTGGTACCTTTGCAAAAGCCTTTCTCCCCATTCAACCTGCCCTTCCTAAACTTTCCG